TTCATTTCTTCGCTATCCATGTCAATGGAACCATCTGCTTCCATTGATTGTAGAGCGTTCTTTATGGGATAGTTTACTCGTGCATTCACTTCTACCCACAGTCTTTCAATTCGCAGATTCTGCAATAAAACAATTTCTTATTTGGTACATATACTGCATGTATAGGTATTTTATTAAAGTATTCATATAGACATACTCCTAACTTGTAAATTCATTCTAATTTAGTCTTTAAATTTAGTCCATGACACACAGATATTAGATTATTCTGACAACTTTTCCTTATCCCCATTTTTTGTCCGAGTTACAGTATGTTTCAATTTTTCTGCAGCATGGGAAGGAGCAGGGTAGCTAACCCTGACCCCCACATTGTACACCTGTGACTAATTATTTATAGAAAATACCAAACATACCTTTTTTGATTTTGTTTGCCGATGAGGGTCTCTCCTTGGGTTTCCTCTTAAGTGTGCCAAACACTCCTGTCCGTAGAGTGTCAAGTAAAATTCTTTTCCATGATCCACTCGAATTTGATCAAATAATCCCTCCTGAAGGACTGTGTGTCTATATTTGCAATGTAATCACAAATCATGTGTATAAAAATGTGATTCACTTTCAGAAAGGTAAATTACCTGAATTAGGGATTGTTCTCAGGTATAGAAAGTAACTCTGATATAAGCAATTTCTTGTCATTATAGTTCTGTACATATACAGACTACATAATTCTACTACAGTAAAGAGCATCAAATTACCTGAAAATTTGATCATATATAATATAATTATTTTTGATTGGCATGGTTGAATGAGCTGTAATATATCTGGAATACCCATCTATTGCACACACATGGGTCACACCATACATTACTAATTTTTCGTTCTGGTCAATGTGTAGTTTGTGACCAAAATAGTCTGCATGATATGGTATGGGATTTGTTTGTCGCTCTGTCCGATGCACATGTCGCTGGTGATAATCGGGATTGACTCTTTGAAGTGACTTGGCAATGCGATGCTGTGAGGCAATGGTTGTACCAACTTGACTTTCCAAGTATCCTTTCATCATTTTTCTTCCATAAACTGGTCCTACCTAACAGCAGTAGAAATGTCTACTAAAGGCATAAGCAACACAAGATAGGAAGCAAATTATAAATGTAAGTTGGGCAAAAAGATGGGGGCAATAAATTTAAAAGCAAGAAATATTTCAGATAATAGTCGAATATTCAAGAAATATGTACGGTTTCCCTATCCCTAACATATGATTGGATATTTTAATTTATAAATACATATACTGTATAATTTATTTCTGCCCTCCTAATATTTTCCCTCTTGTATGCCTATAGAGGAGAATTAGCAGATACCCTATAGTACTTGCACAGATCAATTTATTGTTTAATAGAATATCACAATATCTAACCTGTGATACTGCTCCCTCAACTAGTGCATCCAAAGTTTCGTCTGAAACTACACCTTTTCTTCTAATATCATTCTCCTTGCAAAAGCGTTCAATACTTCTAGTACTGAAACCGGTTGTATTTGGAAACTGCTCCTTTAAATGTTCCGATAAATCTTTGATTGTGCTGCCCTCACGAGACAAGAAACTCTGAATGTATTCAACACCTATGTTCTCTAATGCCGCCATGTTGTTTTCGTTTTGACAAATATCGCACACACCCCGGTTACATATTTTGAGTCATCGGATGTAAAGAAATACAGATTTTAAATTTTGTGTAACTTATCGAGTTTTTGATTGCATTGACATCGGAAAACGAAATTCAGATTCCTATTTTTGATTTCCGTTATCATAAAAATTGGAATTCAAAAAACGAAAAACGGAATTTGGATTTGATCGTCCAAATTTCTTTTGTCATTTTCACTGGAAAACGAATGGCGGAATAGTACACGCATTGTAACACAGCAACTAGGCCAGATATGGTAGTAAGTATTGTTATTTGCTGTTTTGACTCTGGTCCCAATTCCATTCTACACATTCCATAATTCCATTGTTTTAAAAAACTTTTAAATAAATTGCAGCATTGACTGAGTGAACAGAAAAAATGTGTACATTTGTACATTATACCCATTTTATTATTTCAATATAGACGTGGCCTTCCATTTTAATTAAGGATCTGTTCATTAACCCATTGAGTTGCATTGCACCCTGACGTGCCCTACTTTATTATTTTACTCTGTCTAATGCCAGATTATTTTACTCTGTCTAATGCTAGACGATTTTACTTGTCAAGGGGAGAGCGCTGGCACTCAATGGGTTAACTATGTCAAAGGGGGGCTGGTAAGATTTAGAATTTTTTAAAAATTAAAATTTTCTAACCCCCTCTTACATGACCAAAATTCTTAGAGATTGACCCCCTTTGAAAAACTTTCAAATTTAATGATCCCCCAACACATACACATATACTTACTCACTCCCACTTCCTTTTTGACATGCAGAAATTCCAAATCTAAAATTTTGTGCAAACCCCACAAGCCAGGGAATATTGTAAGGAAACTTTTATATTACTGCACAGAGCAATAGAGCATGACATATAGGATTCACACTGAAATTGTGAAAGGTGTGAAAATTTGTAGGTGGTTCTGGCACAATTTTTCCTGCAAATTTTAAACGCTAGATTATGTTAAATGCCATTTCCTTGAACTTTACTTGGGGGGAAAATGTTACAGATTTTAAAAATGTTTCAAGTATGATATCATGACTGTAGGTTATATCGTCTGGGGACAGTAGCGAAGAAAGTGATTCAAACAAAATCCAGAGAAAGCGTAAAAAAGAGAAGAAACGAACACAAGTAAGTTAATTAATTTAATTAAATACACCTCAAGATTGCCTCCTTAGAAAATACTGTAGGTTTATCTTATGCTCAAGCTTTACATTATACAGGGTTCGTACGCCCCCTGGAAATCCTGGAAAACCCTGGATTTTTATTTTAGTCCTGAAAAACCCTTGAAAACCCTGGAATTTCAAATTTATCCCTGGAAAACCCTGGAAAACTGAGAAACTGAGCTGGGTATAGGATTATACCTTAAAAAGAAAGATTGAACAAAAGGTTCTTTATTATATATAGTCAAACTACGAATACTGTATATTTCGTTCAAACTGGTACAAACCCAAATGTATCTGTGCAAGATGAAGTACTAGCCGTCGCGAACATTTCTTATCTGTTAAACACTTATAGATTTATATTTCAAATGCCCCTGGAAAACCCCTGGAAAAAGGACGAAAAAAGTCCTGAAAACCCTGGATTTTTTAAATTACAGTATGAAGGTGTACGAACCCTGATTATAGTATGTGGTCATTCACTCTACTAATACATCTTGCCTCGCTCGAACTTGTAGGTAGACTCTTCCACTGATGATGTATGTGATACCCTCAGTTATATGAGCTCTTGCAACAACACTCCAGCCAAAAAGCAGAGGAGAACCAAAAAACGAAATCAAGTAGGTTAAACAAATCCATAGAAATGTGAAGCATTGAAACTGGTTTGTTGCTACAGTTATTACCTGAACTTGTTCAGCCAATTGAGGATTACATTACAACCCAAAATTTCACAATTAGCCTAGTTTGTGCACCATTCAATCTTGTACTCAGAGTATGTGTGTTCTCGGGAGGGTTGGGATGACTTTGGGAAGATCGAATGAAAATTTTCTCAATGGTGGAAAAGGAAAGTGTGGAAGTTGCTAAGATTAATATCCTAGATTATTCAATTTTGAATTTTCCCAGAGTTATGTCAAGGGCAACCTGCGAACAGGCATACTATAGGTAGGAGATTGTGCAACACCTCTCACCCACCATTGTAGTATATGCAAGTGATGGTGTCGTCAAAAGAAAACAAAATTAAATCCATGTCCATGAGTTGGCCTCATAAGTATCTTTGTGTGTTATTTAGCGTAGCTCTTATTTTAGTGTGTAACTTGCGATATAAAATTGTTATGGTGTGCTGGTAGGGCTTTTTACTATCTTGAATGTTTCACAAGAATTTCGGATCGCTCCCAAGGGGGACGAATACCCTGAGGTATAAACATAGGAAAATGCAACACGCTAAGGCGAAGGTGACCAAGTTCAAATTTGGCAAATGTGTTACTGACTACTGTTAATATAACAACAATGAAACTAAACATATTTCTTCTACAAACACAATAGTAAATTTATAGCTTAGCCTAGCTGAAGTTGTGGTATAGTACTAAATACCATAAACACAATCTATATATGAATTACCTAACCAATTCAATTATTTTCAATCAATATCAATGAATAATTTTGTGATTACTGCATCGATCGGACAATTGGAGGGGGGGGGGCGAATTCCTGGGACACTGTCACAAAGATTTTTCCGGAAACTGAATTTTGTCGCTCAGTATTTTGGATGTAATTAGGTTATTTCGGTAGATAAAACAAATAAGATTGACAATTAACTTAGAGGCTAAGTGTGCTTATGGCTGCACACTTTCAGCTGTGTTTTAAATGCAATTTGTTACAAATTCTAATGCCTTTTATTACAGATGGATACCACCGTCAATGAACTTTCACAAGTAATGAGTGGTCTTAGCTCTGCTGAAAGTAGTCCTGCAAAAGCTACAAAATCCTTAAGTGGAAGCTTTGTTGATGTTGAACCAAAGAGGCTGTTTACTCTCAAAGACGACGAGTAAGTTGCATCTTACAAAATTTCCCATGCCAACAATTATCATTTATTGAAAAAACATTTAGTACCTTGCCAAAAAGCGAATCACGATTTCCCAAAGACGCGGGCCCGATTTGGAAATTTTAATTGCATTTTATTTTTTCTGTAGGAGGAACGATAAATTCATATACCAAGAAGGAAAGCGCTCATACCTAAACCAAGATGCCGTGAATAAATTAGAGTCTATATCTGTTGATAAGGTCCCCCCAGTACCAAACGGCCCAGTCAAATACCGGGTGAAATATGTTGAAAGTGATCCTCTACGAGCCGTCTCGGATAACTGGAACTGGGGGCGTGCTCAGCCGTGCCCAAGAAAGGACTTCTGTAACACAGGTAGAAGGACTCTCCAAATATGCAAAGGTTCCTTCAAATGTGTAAATCCTGGCTGCACTTATAAGAAAATACAGAATACAACAAACAAGGTAGATTTCTCAAAGGCAAAAAAGTGTACCCACTGCAAAGAAATAGCCCTACACATAGAATGTTCTGCCAGGAAATATGTAGAAAATGACCATTGTCATAAAAAAATTATGGTAATATACGTCGAAACTCACGATTGCACTCCACGTGCCGATGACAGTAACCCCAGCAAAGAAAGCGTTAAAGAGTATCTTAAAACGCGACCAACAAGCTGCGCCAAGCAAATACAAGTTGATAAAGTGAGGGAGGCATTGTTGAGTGGGAAAAACTGCGAGGAGGTCAATGACGTCGCATCCCAGTATAGCAACCAAAGGCATATCCAATACCTAAAGACCACCATTGACAAAGAGAATAGACCAGGCGGCTCTGACGTTGAAGCGATACGTAATTTAAAAGATGACTTTTCTAAGAGAGGCCTGGATGAAAACTTAATCATGGAAGTCGGTGATGATTTTGTTATTTTGTCATCCGCTACAAAAATACGGCTCACAGCTTTAATAACACTCGGGATAGTTACAGAGCCAGTTAGCCTGGATGGTTGTGAAAGTTTGGCGAAAGACTTTACAGAGGTGGAAATGACTACATACTACCCTCTGTTACGGCGTAATGTTAAACTGGTGAGCTTGTTCAGCCCAAAACCTGGCGAAAACTCGATCAATGTCGCCAAAATGGTAAAAACATTTGATGACGCAGTCAATAAAATGTTCCCTACAGTTGCAGAGGAGTATGGACTTGACCCCTTAGATTATATTGGCAGGGGATTTGACCCTGAATCGTATGTCAGAGATGAGGGCGGTGGACTTTGGAAAGGTTGTGTCAGGTGAAAGGCAGAGCTGTAAAAAATAAAACAATATCAGACCTATTCCACTTTAAACAAGATGTTCGAAGGCATAGCAAGTATTTTGCAAGTAAAGCGGATCAAATCAAGTTTGAAAAAATCATGGATGAAGCCTATAATGCAATGACTTCCATTGAAGCAAAAAAATCAGAGGACCAGTTAGAAAGGCATATAAAGAATCGGGCCAGCGATGCTACTAAAATGTTGAATTTTAAGACGTGGTGGTGGAGGAGGAGGGTTAGATGGCAGAAATGGTGCCATTCAACCTCTACAACTAATGCTTCTTCTGCAGAAGTGTCAAACGCCAGAGCAGTCGCAAACACTGGTTACCGAAAGCGACTGCTAGATGTGGTAACCACAGAATGCTCTGCAGCTATTCTCGAGGCGGCAGAGGCAAACCGACAAAGCAGTGGACAGAAAACAATTGGACGCGGTCCTACTGCCGCCGACCGTTTAAAGAGGCAAGAAACGGAACTCTTTATATACAAAATATAGCTGAGAATGCGGACAAATATCAGTCGTTGTCAGATGTCGAAACCGCACAAGATGACTACAACATCAATTGTAGAGACACCCATAGGTCTGATAAGTCAAGAAAAGCCCCAAAGAAATCGAAAAAAAGATAAAGGGAACTCGATCGGTAGAAATAAAATAAGGTTTTTCAACAAATATGTCAAGGATGTTAATATGGATATCCTAAAATGTGATAGCAACATGTCACAATTTTGCATTACGCTGCTTGATACGATGGGGTACCAGCAGGACTTAACAATATCCAAGGATTCTGTAACATGCACATCACCTACGTGCAGTGGACTGTGCCATCATTTGACTTGGACTTTGCACACAATGTTTGGCTTTACAAAAGACGACCCTTTGGTTTATAAGAAGCAATACACTAGCTCTGAATGGGAAAACATTCTGAAAGCTTTTCCCAAAAAGGTCCCATTAGTTCGACGAAAGGACAGCGCTATGTTGCAAACATTCGTCATTCAAACAAAGACGCAAAGTGCGCAATGTGCAAAAAACAACTACAATCTGGCGACATGCAGATAGTAACAGAAGGGTTGTACAGAACGATAATGCGTCACTGGATTTCACACACCTTTTTTTTCTGTCCCAAATTAAGTTGCATTACCAAGTAGCTGCGCAACTCGTTCATCCTTCCATATTCTCCGGGATCAATGACACTTGAATTTGACAAAAATTTGAGTTCGGCACAAAGAGCGCTTATTGAACAGAACACTCTAAAAGAGATTACTTAATATAAAACTCTCCATATTCGAGAGTTTGTCCTTGAGAGCGCTGTTTTTAATACTGGGGGCGTGACAATTATTGAATTTATTATTTAGCCGTTTAGAGAGGAGGGAAAATACGATTCAATCTTCAATGGAAACTATCTATTTGACAATTGTTATTTATATATTATTATTCATGTTATTATAGTAAAAACGTTTGTTTGACTGTACAAAATGTACAAAACTTAAACCAAACTGGTTATTAATTAAATTAATATTGGTTTCAAGGACAAGGTTATATGAAAATTTTAGTCAACTAATTTATTCTTTGTTTGCAATGACGTAATTTTGGGATTTTTAAGACTAAAAAGATGAATTACCGCTCAGTTTTTCTTTTATTGCTACAACCATTCTGATAGGAAAAAATCTTCAACAAGTTGTTTGATTGGCCGTCATTTGGATGAAAAGTCACGTGATTGCAAACAAAGAATTTGCACGTTTTAGGCATGCCTCGCACGTTTTGACCATGCCTCGCACGTTTTTCGTCACGCCTCGCACGTTTTCCGCATGCCTCGCTGTCTCGCACTATAGTTAAACTCTCCCTTGATACCCTGCGTGCCTACACATGTATTATTTTAAATAAATTCTAGCTTCTGGGTAACTAACAGCCTCTGCGGAGGAGAGAGTGTTATTTTACTAAACCTTCCTCGGCTTGCGGGACATTTTATCACTAATATCCCTCAAAACATGCGTTTACTAATAAATCACAAAAGTATGACTGGAGAAGCAAGTTACAAATTCGTCATGTTGAAGGGCCTGTAGTTAAAGGCAGTGTCACGGTTCTACTGTGCATCCATAATATGTGCGAACTTGAAAACTGTCTGCCAACAATTAATCAAGTTAGGAGTGAAATACGATAGGCTATTTATAATCCCTTTGTTAGGGACGGACCATTATTTTTTTGGAGGGGGGGATGGACATTTCGTCAATGCAAACAATTTTTTTTTGGTGCTGTTGTCGTTGCAAACAATTTTTTTGCGCCTGCTTCCTTCTGCAAACAATTTTTTTGTCCATCTGATTGCTGTGGATTTCATTATAAATTGATATATATAGTTTAATTGGTGCCCAATTACACTATTGCATGTGTGATCATGGCCATGGGAAGCTCTTTTCGATTGGGGGGGGGGGCGGCTGAAAGCGAGGACCAAAGACCCAAGGAAATTTTTAAATTTAGAGTCTCTGAAATGCCATTATTTCCTGGACTTTGGGGAAGATTTGACAGAATTCTGATGGTCAGAAAACAGCGAAATTTACAATTCTGTAGTACTAAACTTTATATTGGATAAGTTGCAGGAAAGTATGGGTAATATCTTCATTCTTTGCAGTTTGTCATGAATTAAATTATAAAGGTCTGCATGATTTTGAAAAATGAATAATTATTAGCAAATTGTTGTGGGGGCTGCAGGCCCCCCCCCCCGGTTGCTACGGCGCTGGTGATCGAACAACATGTGGTGTTGTCAGAAGTATAAATTTAATATGTAAACAGACATTTAATAGTTTTTTTTGGTATACTGGTCCGGGCCTTTTTTAAAGATTTTCCCGTTTGAGGGGGGGGGGGACCTTTCTGTGAGATAATATATTAGAGGAGGATAGGAATGGCTGACGGCCACGTAGTCTGAGGGCATATTTCCCCAGAAAATTTTTGAAATTTGAAGCTGCATTCTGAGCATTTAGATTTGCTCTAAAATTTATGCTGAGTATACTTGTATTTGAAATAAAAGAAGGAAAAACGCACAAAAAATAAAAAATTATTAATAATTTATCATCATTACTTAGTGCCAGGTAGAAAAACGTAACAATTTAAATCGATTTTGTTAAACAAGGATAAAGCCTAAAACTTACTTTTTGTTTATCAATTTGTTATTTTTCGCTGGTTTGTTTGTGTAAATTTAGGAAAAAGGGAAATGGAAAGGAAAATGTGATTTCGTGAGGGGGGCATAAGGCAGACATCCCCCCACCGCTTGTATGTTAAAAAAGGCCCTGATACTGGTCCTCTCATTATTTACGCTACACAATGTCTTACACCAGTACTTGTCCAATTACCTATTTTATACAAAAAATACCAAAAAATACAACCCCCCCCAAGAAATGACTGTATTAAATAGATTAATATTTAACCCATATGGTAGATTGCAACATGTGCCCAGCGTGTCCCATCCCAGGGCTTTGGAGTGAAGACCCTGGGTATGTTGGTGCGCACTCTGTTCATTGTCATTAACCTTGGTTGATGTTGCATAATCTCATTAGCTTGCAAACTATTTTTTTCCTCTTTTCTATGTGTGCAAACAATTTATTTGCACTTTTTTTGTCTTTGCAAACAATTTTTTAAAGAATTTTTTATCCTCCCCCCTCCAAAAAAATAATGGGCCGTCCCTTATGCAGGACATCCTTGCTTTGTTTTAAAAATTTAAGGCTGCTGCATCTTTTCCTTGTAGCAGTAATTTTTAACGTTTCTTTGCGCTGTTTATTTTAGCTAATCAGTGCTGTGACACTGCCCCTTTAAGAGCTAAATGTTTGAGAGAACGCGTTCTTGTTGTGCTTATGCCTGTGTACAGGTACTTGACCTGTGTGCAGGTATTAAGTTTGCCTGTGTACAGCTATTATTTATCAGAGCAGCGTTAATTCAATAGACCCTTTAGATAGTTACATCACGATTACCTTTTTGGCCTGGGAACCTCGCTCTGATTAGTGAAAGACACAAGGCGATTGGCTCAAGATTCATGAGAGCAAGGCTTGCAGGTCAAATGACGTAATTATCAAAAGGCTTATTAGCTGTATTTTTAAGCAATTTAAATTTACTAAATTAATTAAGGAATTAATATAAATTGCTAAATTAAATAATGTGTTCAAAAAAACAAATTCTTTCCTTTTGTTGGCGGGAAGAAGATTTATCCAAGCAATGCAAAACATGATAAAGTGACAAAAAAGTTCAGCAACTGTACATTTACAACAATATGTTCTTTACTATAAAATAGAAAGGAAGGACCCAACAAACAGAAGAACATTTTCAGGTCCTTCTTTCCATCTTATATAGTAAACAGCATCTTGTTGTAAATATAGCAAAATTTACTTTATGTTTTTCTTCGCTTGGATTAACCTTCTTTCCGCCCATGTAATCAGATGCTCTCCTTCCCTGTGTTGTATACAGTATGTGTGTTTTATATGTATTGTATTTCATTCTGTCTGAAGATGATTTTGGACTAAAGTCCAAAATTTACAGTTTTAACCTGCATCTTATTTTAAACAAGACGCTCTATGGAGCGTTAACTCGCTGGGGCTATACAACGGACGCACATTACTGTTAAGATCTAAATGCTGATTTCCACTGTTGCGTTTTTCGTACGCACGTACACGCACGAAAAATTTTGAATCCTTTCATTTTTAAATATTTTACAAACAAGTTAACAAATGCATACTAAAACTTGCGGAACAGTAAATTCTGTTGCTTTATTTATTTGGTTATTTTATAAGTAAACGGAATCCGTTTCCGGAATCCACGTTTTATCCTCATTTGCGGAATCTGCTCCGGAATCTGCTTCCGCAATCCACGTTTTATCGCAATCCAATAAAACTTCTGGCGTTTATGCCCACAAGTAAAGTTATATTTTATAGTATGCTACATATTTCTTCTGTTGGCCGCCAGTTTAAAACGTTCAAAATAAAATATTTGGGGGCTTTTGGGCTCAAAATATTATCAAAATGAAGAGAGAAATGAGACGAATCCACTGGTATACGGCCGAAAAAGAGAAAACGAATGATGCCAAAGTTATCAAGGATCAAACGTATTGCATTTTTTATAATTTGAGCGATTTCTCAACAAATAATACACTTCGCTTGGCTTGCAAATACAAAGGCCATAAATCGCTAGAATACTGTTGTCAGTTGTTTAGTAATACAGTTGACATCCGTAAGTACAATTTCTCATTCGTAAAATTTCTTACACTGAATCGAACAGTGGTATTTTTATCCTTATTGCGCCATTTATAGGCAATACAAATACAATACAAGGTCGCACCATGGATTGTAAAATAACAATGTCAACAATACAATTTCGCTTGATTTTCAAAGGCCATAAATCGCTAGTATACTGGTGTTTAGTAACAGATTTGGCATCCGTAAGTACAATTTCTTATGCTGAATCGAACGGTGGTATTTTTATCCTTATTGCGCCATTAATAGGCATTACAAATACAATAAAATATTTCACACTGAGTACACTTGAACACTACAGTTTTCATGGACTGTTGTTTGATAATTTTTATATTGATATGACACCAATATGCTTCTCATAAAGTAGTTATTTATTAAAACTACGTTGTGCAGTTTAAGTTATAACCATTTACCTTGAAATTGTCTTTGGCTCGTTTATATTCAGATCCAGTATATTATGCCTGGTCGTGCACGGGAATTCAATGAACCAAATTTCGAATTTTCAGAGTCGTGCACCAAGAAATACGCATTAAATAAACTAGCAAGAATGTCCAGAGTTAGACACAATGCAAAATGCATAGGAAACAGGCACAATTGGTTCAACATTTTCACGAAATTGTTTGAAACATTTTGCCCGCTGAGGCCCCACTCCACGAAACACCCCGCCATTTTGAAAAGGATCAAGCAGCTCACTAATATTCTATTTTGTGGCTATCGACGATTGGAGATTGCCGATCCAAGAACAGAGCCGAAACCTATACTTGTCTGGGGCACAGAGTGCCCCAGCGAGTAATAATTTAATATATTGTATTCCCATGTCCTGTTTATTCTGATTTCTGGCTTTATTTTTTATATTGTCACCTGGTCGTGGTTTTTGAATTAATATGTTGATTATACTCATTAGGGCAACAACGTAAAGCAAGAGGTGGAGGAAAGTTTGGTTGAAACTTCATGCAATGTAACAGATGGAGAAAATAGCGATCAGAGTTGGAGTCCGAGCAAGTCAGAAAATGACAAAGAAAGCTCCAAAGGTGCAGAGGAAGCCAATTTAAGAAAGAGGAAACATCAAGATGGTGACGATAACAGCAACAAGAGAAAAAAAAAGTCGAAAAGGATAACAACCTGAATGAGACACCGGATAGTGGAATTGAAAAAGGGAAAGATGAAGGTAAAATTAATAAAAGGCGAAAGATTTTGTGCCCCTTGGTTGTGTGCAAGGCAAAAGTCATGCATCTTCCAAGGCACATGCGCAATGTACATAAATGAACAAAGAAATCTTTTCAAAAAGTTCTGTTGAAGTAGTTAACATGCACAACTCGACGTTAGCGAACGGATATTCAGTTATGTTAATAATGTACATTGGGTCGCCACCAACCTATATGAACATGGTTTTGTGATTGGTTGATCATAACAATAAAAGACAATGAACTATAGAAATTGTCTTTCTAAAGAACGAGTCATAAACACTGATCACAAAACACGACACTTTAGGTTGGTATTTACTCGACTATTCATGCAAATATACGTGTTTTTTAAATCATTTCAACCGTAGCCATGGTAAACGATTTACATGTGATTGCAACCGCTCTGGCAGGCTCTGCAGTGTTTAGCAATTTTGTGTAACATTTTATTCTCCGTGCATATACATACATGTCCTGCATGTAGAGATATATCAGGTTAACGAAATAAACCATACACTGTTAACCGCGAGTTATTGTACTTGAAAACTTTGAAAGTTTCTGCAAATTATTATTTTTGACAACAGCATGCCCCCAAACAAATATCCCAAGGGCACGCGTATGGAAGGAGTATTGTTTCCCAATCTTGTGCGTTCGGCGTTCATGCAATGGTTGTGACTTTTTCAATGAAATTTCTGTTTTGGAATTTAACGGGGGGAAAGTGTAGAATCCTTTCTGCAGATTGTACGTGATGTAGGCCCAACAGTTTTCTCGCCAACGAGGAGAGGAAATAGAAGACAGATTCACTATCCTTTTACTTTCCGTTCCCTAGCTTTACTGAGTGAATTAACCATGCATTTTAAACGCGAGTCTGTTAGTGAGAGTTGTATGGACTATTATTCCTGGTACAAACATGCGCCCAATCTAATAACCCAAAGCTAAAGAGAGCTAACTTTCCTTTCTGTAAATATAATTGCATTGTGATACGACACTTCAAGTTGCTCAGGCTTACCTAATTATACTGTTGTGTCATTTCTTGACGATTAGAATATATCAGTTTACTCACTAGACGAAAATTCATAGTGCACTGTCTCGACGAACCAGCAAGCCTGGTTTTAAGAGTTTCGACGCATAAGTACGTTTGGTTTGGAACGTCATGTGATGATCGTATATGTTTGGCTGGCGAAAATTTATAATTTTTCGTCTCGACCAATAAGCAAGCGAGTTTAAGCGCGTTTGTCGTTCAGTTAATGAGGCTATTCGTGCGCTTTCGTCGAGTTGTGCATGTCAACTAGTACAATATACGAAAAAGTACGTCTAAAGATACCATGGTGAAAACGAAGCACTAGGATTACCATACATGTCGACAATGTCCAATTGACCAGTGTCAATCCATTGTTTTCCGGTTACCAGCCCATCTACAAAAAGTACACAAATTGAAGAAGACTATGAGAGAATACATTGATGCCATGGAAACTGCTGTTGTTGTTCCTGACCATAAACATCCGATGGTTCTTTGGAAGGAAGAGCGAATGCACCAAACATAAAAAAATGCTTCACAACTTGGAACAAAGCAGAATAATTGCATCTGAAAGTGGAGAGTCGAGTGTTGAAAATGAAAAGGATTCATCAAGCAATGATGATAATAACATGGCGGGTGAGTGCTCAGACGATACAACTGCTGAGAATGTAAACACATTTTTGTTAAATTTGAACAATGGATGCTGTCTCTGGACAGAGGTAAAAAGGATGAAAAAACTGTTAAACAACATAGTGCACAACTATTTGGAATTTTAAGAGCCATTGACGATTCTGAAGATGTCAATTCCCTTCTTGATCTAAAGCTAGTCCATCATGTCTTCCTCAATAATTATGTAAAGAAATGAAATTATGAGGCAGGGACTTTCCTCATATCTGACAATCCTGGTGACATTAATTTCAATGTTGATGATGTTGCTTCTGCAAGAGAGAAGGTGCAGATGTGGTCGTCCTCGTATAGATGGGAGTCAAGCACACGTAAGTGGCAAAAGTTGGAAGAAGATACGGTAAACGGTTTAACACCTTCTAACATTAACTAATTTGAGAAAAGTAAAGCAGCAAGAGAAGCTGTTAAAATCCTTGGGAAACATTCAGATCCAACAGAACATGATGAAATTACACAAATGGACTACACGTTAGTGAGGGATTTTCTGTTCACACAAATATTTACTGACAATGCAAATCGGCTTGGGATTTTGGCAGAAATGACAGTGGCTGACTACAAGAGGATGATTTTCAACACGTCATTACAGTGACGGAGCATAAAACTGCATATATCTATGGACCAGCTCGTATTGTTTTAGCCGAAAAATTAAAGTCATGGCTCGACATTTTCATACAAATAATTCGACCTCAAATTACAACCTTAGCATCTGGAAATGTCTTTCCTCGCTGGAACGCTAGAAGTATGAAGTCATGTCAAATTACCAATGCCATACAGTCCATCTTCAAGAAAGCTGGGATTGACCTTAAAATCACTTCAACATCCTATCACAAGGCTGCTGTGACTAAAGTACATATGGACTGCCCAGATCTTAGCGGAAAGTTAGCAGGATTGATGGCTCATAACGAGGCAACAACCAAAAAATACTATCTTCTGGCCGAAAAAATGAAAGCGTCTGTGGAAGCTTCAAGCAAATTTGTCAAGTTGATGCGAACGGAAGAGGCGAATGAAGAATGTCCACCTGGTGAGTCCTCCACTGAGCCTACTGGAGACCTAAAACGAAATAAAGAAGAAGGAAAGAAGAACAAGTGCAGTTGGAGCGACGAGGATTTAAAAAAGGTCCATACCATTTTCGGCCAGGAATTGATGAAAAACATAGTTACACTTGATATTGTCCGTTATCGTGTGGAAACCACCAGGTGATCTCGTGTTCATATTTTAGCCAATCAGCGCTCAGAAAGGGTTGTCCGAATAGAAATCCATTTTGATGTATTCAGTCAATTATATCTTTTGTTATTCTTTATAAAACTAGTTGAAATTTTGTAATTATGTTTGGTTATGAGAACTATAGCTCTGACAAAAATATGGAATCGAAATAAAGTATATTACAGGAGATATTCAGTTGTTTTAATCATAAAATGGATTTCTATTTGACAACTAGTGCCAGTACTTTTCCGCGTATCAAGATCATCTGGCAACGAAGAGGTTCATAATAATAATAATAATAATAATAATTAGTTTTTTATATAGCGCATCTTCCATAAATGTCCAGATGCGCTTTACAACTTATAACTTACAATATTTATACAACAATTGCTTAATTTAAAGTTTTGTAAAATAGACTATAAAAATCGATCTAAAAATAGTTAAAATTACTCTAAATAAAATCCTTATATACAATTCGGAACAAATGTGTTTTCAATTCTGATTTAAAAAATCCTATAGATTCACATAGTCTTACATTCTGAGGCAGATTATTCCACAATATTGGTGCAGATACCCTAAAGGAACGTCTACCATAGGTTTCCAAGTTATAATTTGGAACTACTAATTTCCTATCTGATGATGATCTTAAATTTCGCCTAGGCACATAAACTTCCAACAGGTCAGAAATGTATCCTGGTGCTTGTCCAGATAAAGCCTTAAAAGTGATCAATAGTATCTTATATTGAATCCTTTCCTTGATTGGCAGCCAATGTAGATTGAATAGCACTGGTGTTATGTGATCTCTTTTCCTCGTTAATGTGACAATTCGTGCTGCTGCATTCTGAACTTTCTGGATTCGCTCAAGAGCAGTGTTCGATAGTCCGTGTAACAATGCATTTCCAAAATCAAGTCGGGATGTAACCAGAGCATGTACTAAAATCTCTGCAGATTTAAGGCTGAGATATTTTCGTACTTTACTGATTTTCCTTAAATAATAAAATCCAGATTTGCAAATGGTTGATACTTGTGATTCCATAGTAACATTTGAGTCCATTATAATCCCAATATTTCTCGCCTTGGTAGAGAGGCCAATGACATCATCACAAACATTTATATAAGACAAAGATGGACTTGGACGATGGCGAGCAGAAAACACCAGTATCTCCGTCTTGTCACTGTTTAACTTTAGCTTATTCATGGTCAACCATTCATCTAATTCACGGACACACTCTTCGATCTTCGTTTTTGCAACTATCAGATCGTCTGGATTACTTGATTTGAAAGTAACATATAATTGCGTGTCATCGGCATAAAGATGGAAGTCGATGCCCAATGATCTCATAAGGTCTCCAATTGGTGCTATATACAATTAAGGGTGGCACTATATTTTTATTAACATTTTCACTGTATGAAGTGAGTCACAATACTCTGAATTCTAGAAGGGCAATTCATTTAAAGTTGATTAATGACAGAAATATATTCTCTATCTTGCCTTTCTATGCAAAATCATGTATCCTTTATGATCATTGATCCAGTTGTAGAACTTTTGTATGTCAAAGTCATGCAATAA